AAAATGGTAACCTATCTTTTTTGCTCTCTATCTTGACCCTACGCCATTGTTACCCTATTTTTACCCCAAAAGCTATGAAATAAGCGTTTTTTTCTCACTTTGTTCGGTAGACACAGAATTCTCGAGCAATCTAACGAACGAATCAAATAAACATAGAAAAAATACATCTATATGCAGGAAGAGGATTTTAAAAATCGATTTAGTTAAGTAAATGGTGTCTAGCGAGAGTATTTTAGATAAATAACAGCCAAATATTCACTCGAAATGCAATCTAATTGTCATCAATGGAGGTTTATCGTTGACATCTGCTAAGTTTTATGACACATGCTTTACTTTAAACGAGTCCGCACTATACGCTTGACTTGCATTGATGCATATCCTATCAATTGAAGGCATTTACCACGAGTCTTCTGTAAATATCTGATCGCATGGATGTAATAAGTACTTATGAGTAATATGACATCAACCCACGTTCCTTTTATAAAACATGCATATAATGCGCATGTAGTCTATACATCTAATATCCAACACATGCAGTATAAGGGTCGTACTTTAAATGACAGTGCACATAGTGACAGTGTGTGTGAAAGGGTTGTTGCAAATACAGTTGATTAGGTATTTCAATTAAAGCAGCCATGTCCATATGTTAATGAGAATTGATACGGATTGTGGCTTACCAGATTCTGCGAATGTTTTGACCATAATTTCGAAATCCTTCATTGTTCCATAGACTTTGTCAATGCCCGTGAAATCGGTGACATCGTAACCGTTGTCCACCCCGGAGGACGGGTATATTGGATTTAGCCACACAGCATTTACTCCCAGTTCCTTCAAGTAGTCCTTTTTCGCCATGAGACCTAATGCAAGAATGTATATTTCTGAGTGTGTGTGACTTAATTGAGTAATATGTATTACTTGCGCATATTTAAGAAAAGGAAATCCAAAAATTCAACTTTATCTGGAATTTTATCCAAAACTTTAAACGATTTTCAAGCAAGGATTTGTAGTGAACCCGCGACGGAAAAGACTTGTGGCATGCTCCTCATTTCTTTGGGTCAAAACAATCAAAACGCAGAAGAAGAGAGGAGGACAGGAGGAGTGGGGAGAAAGGGACAGATAGCTACAAAGAAGGAGAAACGAAGAATCAAATAAGAAATTTTGAAAATCAAATGCCTTAGCATGGGCTAGTAAATCAAGGTAATTTGAGAAGCACGGATTGGAGGTTTTGCAGGAATGGAACCAATATTTTTCTGAAATCAGAGACTATTTTGGTTGATCTGGTACGAAATTGAGTTGGTCCATTACAACTTTGCGTTAATATTGACCTGAAGTTTATGTCAGCGACACAAATCGTGCCAATCACATGTTGTAATGTTGACCAAAACTTAGACTTTTTAATCTCTAGGAAGTTTTACTTTCAGCCTAAATTCAGACGCGGTGACCATGCAATAGGATAATTTGGAGATAAATTTTAAGAGACATTTTAGAGAAGTTACTACTAAACAAATAATTTAGGACGAATCTCAACGATTCGTGAATATTAGAAAAATTACGCCCGTCGGTTTTTTATCGTAAGCCACGATGAACTTTCCAGAGTTACTGCACGTATGTTTTCAGCGTTGCGTATATGTTAAAAATGTTCTTCGTTCAAAGTTCTCTAAGGAGGGCTCACTTTCGATTCCGGATCTAGATTTCCTTCTCTAGATTGTCCAATCATCTCTCAAACGCAGAAGTGCAGAGAAGAAATCTAGTTTTTCTAGTAAAAGGATGTTGAGGTTATATTCTGAAATGAAATGAGTTAAAATGAGCAACTCTCATTCAGAGGAATATTTTGGAATGCTATGTGCCTTCGTACACGGAGGTTTTGCGTCATTATTCACCGTTACAACATGGGTGAATTGCGTTTTTTAGTTGTTTTTAATGCCATGATGACGTAGTCTCGGTGCAGTGACGTACTGCTTCAACGATAATTTTTATTGAGTATTTTACCAACGAAGCAACCACCGCGAATCGCAACTTTCATCGAGTATTTTACTTTCCCAGAGCGTGAAGTGCAAAAAAATGCATGCATCTAACCGAACTACATCTATGTATTTAAAAAAATGGTAAGACTATACATCATTAAACATCGATGAATTTCTTATGTTTCTTACTAATACTTGAGGTACGCCACTGCAACATTTTTGTGTTGTAGATTTCAGCAATTTTCTAAATAATTATTCTGATGATTGAACTTTTGAGTTAGTCGAAGCCTTGATATTCCTTACGTCTCCTTAACTCTCCAGTTAAGCCTATCATTCTCTTTTTAAGAATAATTTTCGCTGGAGCCTCTTATATTGCCACCCCTCTGACGTTAGGGCGTATCTCAATTTCCACGTGAGCCTCGTTTTCCATATAAATCCAAGCTTTTTCGGGCTCATGCAGAAAGCGAAAAACGCCCTTACTTCAGAGGAGCGACGAAATTGTTCTTTTCTAGTTGATATAACTAAAAACTTCCCGGATTAATATCATTCTAAATAAGGGGCTCAGAGAACAAGGCGCATAAGTGTAGTTTTTGCTATTTTAAGAAAAACGTATTTAAAGTTTAAAAATTACATGGATCCATATGGCGGCATTCCAAATTGGAATTTGGGAGCGAATTTTTTACAGAATATGCATCAAGATTAGTTTTACTTGAAATCATCAATATCTCATTTTTTTCAAAAACTGCACTTATGCGCCGTGTCCTTCAAACCCCCGATACAATTTGTAAATTTTGTCTTATTGAAACGGCGGTTACCTTTCAAGTCACCGATGCCGTCTCCATCAGAGTCCGCAAACGATTTCGTATAGCACTGGTAGATAATCGCGTGCTGCCACCATGCTTTCTCCGGAAACCAGGTTAACACGCCAGAAATTGCCGCTAAAACACTCAGTAAGAGGATAAAGGAGCCCATGGTGGAGGGCCCTAGCTCCGCAGCTTTATCCTTCACAAAGAGTGCGAAGCTCCGATGATAAAACTGCAAATGATACCGCATGTTGACGCAACTTTTATACATGAGCTCACCTTGAGCCCCGGCTGGATCTGAGAAAAAA